TAAGCATACATATCTTTTGGTAACTACAAGGTAAAGATGGACATTGCAGGGCTTACCTAAAGTAACTATTCCATTATGTGTGCTGTGGGAGTTCCTTCAGCTCCTTCAGCCAATCGCCGCTGAGTTACCAGCCCATTGGGGCGTGGTCTCTCCCTTTAAAAAAAGCAGCGGCTGTCCTCCACTCTCTCTTTGTCTTCCGGCTCCGTTTCCGGCCCCTGGACTCCTTTCCTGTTCGCGCGGAGGGGCTGTTGTCTGGGACGGTAATCTGTAAGTTTTTTCCCCTTTGAATAAATAACCATTCTATTAATCATAATTCCAAACTGGTGTGGGATTGTCTGTGACTTACGCCTTCATATGTGTACCAGGATACCACACTGAGACTGTAGATAGGCTCTGTACAGTTCTCATACAAAAATCACTTCCAGAGAAAGTGTAAGGAATTCTGCAATTTATTTATTTATTGTTGTTGTTATTGTTCTTTATTATTATTATTATTATTATTATTACAAATTTTCACCTCCTCCCCTCCTTCCATTCCCTCCTCCCCCCACTCCCCCTTCCCCTCCCTCTTCAGTCCAAAGAGCAGTCAGGGTTCCCTGCCCTGTGGGAAGTCCAAGGTCCTCTCCCCGCCATCCAGGTCTAAGAAAGTGAGGATCCAAACAGACTAGGTTCCCACAAAGCCAGTACATGGAGTAGAATCAAAACCCAGTGCCATTGTCCTTGGCTTCTCCGTCAGCCTTCCACGTCAGCCACGTTCAGAGAGTCCGGTTTGATCACATGCTCCATCAGTCCCAGTCCAACTGGCCTTGGTGAGTTCCCATTAATTATTAGATTAAGTGACGTCGATCCCACCTACATAAAATACTGGGTAATATTCAAATATTGAAGTAGACCGTTTGACCCAGCAATTCCACTCCTGGGCATGTGTACAGGATACAGAAAAAGCTTGTCCGCCCAACGACTTAAGGATGCAGCAGCCTCCGTCACCAGAGACAACCCAAATGATCACAGCAAAAGAGACAATGGAGCATGACTCATCAGTAAAGAGAAGTAAACTACTGACAGGTAGAAAGTGAAGGAAGCCAATAAAAGGCATTCTGAGCCAGAGAAGCTGAACGCAAAAGGCCCAGTGATATGGGAACCCACATCTGAAGTTCCCGATGACGCCGAACTAGGCTGGAATTTGAAAACAGCACAGAACTGGGGTGAATGGCAGGGAAGGTGGTGAAGGAGATCTTCCCCCCATGACATAAACATTGTGTGTCCAGAGAGGTACTGGTCAGATGTAAACATCTACCTATCAAAAGAGCATGATCGCATGTACATTTACATATGTGCACATATCACCACAAAAAAAATAACTGTACCCAAAAAATCCATGAATTAGAAATGGTTTAGATGTATGAGTTAAGCAATAATGGCACAACTGAGAAAGTAAGTGAGTGGGAGGCACAGTCTAACATGCTATCTCTCTGTTTTATATATACTCAACATTTTCCAAATCATGCTTTTCAGGACTCTATGTGCAAAAGACGTTTTGTAAAAAGGCATAGAGAACCTTGCATCTGTGCTTCTCGTGGGGAATTCCAATGCCCCTCATTATTTCCCCAGCTACCCTTGCCTCCAGCTCCACATGTCGCCTACCTAATGGGCCATCAGAGAGAATATGATATGGCTGATTCAGCCCCTCAAATATCTATTTCTAACAAACGCCGGCACAGATGGAGAGACCAGGACTTCTGCACGTGTTAGAGAAATGAAGGGTCCTGACAGATCCCAGACTTGGTCCTTCTCATCAGTCTCTAACAACACTATAAGTTAATGAGAAAATAGAACTACACTTTTTAAAATCCTGATTTTTTTTAAAGTAGTATATTCGTGAGTTTTTTTTTTAACCTTCCCTATTTCTCGTCAACACAGAGACATTTTCAGAAGAGTGAAGTGCAAAGAATAACCAAGGCCAATGGTCAGCGCCTTTGCTCAGTCATGTATCACCCAATGTGTCTTAGTTTTCTAAATTTTGCCTGAGAAAATTCCGTCGTTTTCACCTTCTGTGTGCAAGGCATGAGAAGTGCCACACAGAGGCGGAGAGCAGATCAGGCTCAGCCATTTAAAGGTGTAATACATTAATGTCACCTAGGTCACAAGGGGATTAAGGTGCACTCAGGCTCGGAAGCTTCTTGACGGAACCTAATAACTGCCTCAAGTACCAACTAGTTCGGTAAGACAACCTAAAACGAACAATAAAATTAGCTGACACTAAAGATCCAAGATACATGCTTTATCATCTACACTTACAAGTCTTTTCATATAATATTTATTTTTATACAAATTCTAATGAAGATTTCACAAGATGTTAAACATTGAACAGACACTTGGGAAATGAGTGTCCCCTGATGCCAGCGTGTTTATCCACCTGTTCCCTCACTCATGAACCATCAAATGAAGGTCTACATATACCAAGTGCTCTCTCGGTGACAGAAATACAGCAGTAGCCATAACAAAGTCTATGCCCTCATGGGCTTATAGAGGAGGGCCTGTGAGATGGCTCAACAGGTCAAGGGATTGCAGCCAACCCTGATGACCTGAGTTCAAATCCCAGGGCCGATGTGGTAAAAGGAGAACCAGCTCCTGCAAGCTGTCCCCTTGCCCCCCCATGCTTGACACCCACACCCTCACATCCATAGGCATACATGCACACACACAAATCAAATAAATAAATAATATTTTTTTAAAAAGAAGGGTAGGTGTTGGGGGGTGGAACTCAATCAAGTCAGAAGAGGCTGCAGATTAGGAGTTAGCATGCATGCCCAGCCACTTAAATTTCAGAACTCCATGCAGAGAAAACGGAACGCACAGAAGTATGGCACCTGAACCCACTGCAAACGAAAGAAACACTTGGACAGTGTGACAAGCATGGAGAAAGCCAGGGCAAGCACTGATGGAAGTCACTGACGGAAGTATAAACCAAGGGGCCAGCTTCCTGCACACAACTGCATGATCTGAACATAGATCATTCTCCCGCTTAATATTTTTATAGCAAAGTCTATCTGGGTAAGGAACAAAGGTTGAAGTAGATCCATTCTCTGTGAAGATCACAGTGGGTGAGTTCATTTGTTTACCAACACCGTCTGACTGACTGTGACATGCTGGGTTACGCTTGTTTACCTCTGGGCTGGAGGCTAGAGTGTTGGAGAAAGACCCAGGAACTGTTCAGACCTCAGTGTGAACTGCTGGACCGCAGATCCTTTATCTCAATTAAAAGCAAAACAAAACAAAACAAAACAAACAGGGATTGCTAGTTTTCTAAATAATTGTCCTTTTCAAATATCCCTCATAGAAATCAGAAAACAAATAGTTTAGCTTTCACTCTAAACACGAAGGTTTCAAATAATTACAGTTATTCACAACCCTCATCAGACCACATTATCCTATGGTAATCAAACCCATTTCACTAATATTCCTGTAAGACCAAAATATCAGAAACCATGAAAGTCATCAATACTCCCCTAAGACTCTTACTGTACTGCTAATGTAAGAAACCTCTCCTGTCTGAGATTAAAACAGTATCCTCAGCATCTCCAGATTCACCATGTCTAATGTCAGCCTCCTTTGCTCCACGGTGTTTAGCGCTTTCCCGTACTAAAAACTGAGTAAGATCCGAACACACTGCATATCTTTCATTGTAGCCACCTTCAAGTGCTATTAATCGGTTTAACAGGGTGTCAGAAACACAAGCTTGCTCCTGTGCACTGTGGTGATTTCATCCTAAGCTCGAAGCACTCCAAGAAATTAAATCATCTGGGCTGTGTCATGAATCACAGCTGGCATGCCTCCGAACTGCTCTCTGATGATGAGCAAGCAAGATAAACGAAGATGCCGATTCCACTCTACAGAATTTCGTTTTCAGCATCTTCTATAATGTTAGGAGGCAGATTTTAAAGCAAAAATCAGTGTTAGAATAACACTCATCTTCAGTTTGTGAAACCTCAGTCCACTAGCCAGAAAATCGGTGGCTTTAAAAAAAAAAAAATAGAAAAAAAGTCCTCTTTCCTTCCCAGAGCCCAGGCAGCATCCACAGTGTAGAGGTAACTAACTGGATTGGGGGCTGGGTAAAGGCTATTTGAATGAATAGCCGAGCTCTTTGCTTACCAGGGAGCTTGAACTGGGGGAGGGGTAGACAGAAAACCGGGGACTGAAATGGTCATATATACTGAACCCATATTTCATCAGCCCCTACCGAACGTGTCAAGACACGCTCATTTAAGTTCCACTACAAGGAGATTCCCCTCAGGGGGAGGGGCAGGCTGTGCTACCCAAGCATCGCTCGCTCGCTTACCTATCTGTCTCCCACCCTCGTCCCTTCCCTCAACTACAAACTCCGGTTTCGTGGCTTTCTTTCTCATCTTATTGTACCAAATGCATTTCCTCCCCCCCCCCTTTTATTGCAAGCCGCCTTAAACGTGTCCTGGGATAAGAAGAGAAATATAATGAAATAAATCGAGATTTCTTTCTCCGGTTCTAAATTTAAATACAGCAGGCAGGGAGAAACAGCGCAAAGCTGTGTGGGTGTATATGACAAAACTGCTCTGTATCTAGGAGAGGATGGAGAACAGAATGCTAAAGGGATCTGAGAGCCTGTGTGTGTGTGTGTGTGTGTGTGTGTGTGTGTGTGTGTGTACAGGAAGAGAAGGAAAATAAAAAAAATAAAATAAAAATAGAAAGATCAGTGGAACCTTGACCCCCTTCGCACACCCCCATTACAGCCCCCGACCCTTCTCAAGCCCACTGCAATGCTCTGCGGGGCTGGGGAGTGTGTGTGTGGAGAGGGATGGGGGGGGGGGAGAACCGAAGGCCGAACCGTCAACCTGGGAAGACGCGGAGGGATAGAGACCCGCACGGGTAGGCAGAGAGGTGATGAGAAAGAGTTAAGAATCCCGCAAAGCCGGACGAGCTCGCTTGGCACCGATGCAAAGCAAGGCCGGGCTGCTGGGACCTACCTGGAACCGCCGAAGTCGAGGATGCCCCAGGCACCTCTGGCCTCTCCTCCTCCGCCTCCTCCCGCTGTTTCTGCTGTTGCTGCTGCTGCTGCTGCTGGATGAGGCTGAGGTCGGAGCGGCTGAGCTCGGCTCTGGCGGCCGCGGGGACCAGCCGCGCCTTCAGCAGCATCGCGGCCAGGCCGAGGAGCAGGGCGCAGGGGATGCGCGGGCAGAGCCTCGCCATGGCGGAGAGCCAGCGGGCCACGGAGGC